TTAGTGGCTGAATAGTGATGTGATTAAAAAGACTGCTGCTATCCTATACCTATTCAGACTAGTAGAATTCTACATATGTTCTACCAATTAATGTTTGAATAGAGCAGCGATTAGAGAGACATCTGCCATTGTATATCCATTCAGAAAAGAGCTAAACTTGCATATTCATATGCAATGAAGACAAAAATAAATATTTGCAAAGGTAAACTATACGTTTAAATTATAAATATAATTGAGTTGATTTCCTTTAATGAGTGTTCTCTATTTTACAATATTTGAGATTATTTTTTATTTATAAATACAGAATCTTTCATCAATACATGTCTAGAAATGGACAAATTATTCACTGAAAAAGCATTTATATAAGGTTCCTGATTTCAGGCCTTGGGTGAACTCAGTTTCACATCTACTTGTTTGCAATTTGCACTACTTCTGCTTCAACCCATCAGTTATTTGTGAAATGCTAACTTGATTATTCTGTAAGCATGATACATGATTAGGCACAAAAATCACGTGGCATTTTTCCACCTCACTGGAAGGCAATACTTCAAGTAACAAACTGATTATAGCTGAGAAAGGATCATCTGTTTTACAAGTTTTTCTATACAAGCTTGGACATTTGTACATCAAGAGGTATTTACAAACCTTTTTTCAAATAACTCCTTTTTTCCAGATGCTTATATACAGCAGTGACAGCCACAGAAATACTATCAAAGCGAAAAGCAGTTTGAAGTTTTAGCAAGCACTTATTACTACTGTTTCAAGGGAGTACCCTCGTCCCCTGAATTTAAAGAGCAACATGAGCTGTTACATCTTGCAATGAATTGCAGATCTTATTCTCCATCATTAGCACAAAGCAATCTGGTAGTTGCACCTTAAGGTTGCACAGAAAAAAACAAGGTGAAGAATTTGGTTCTTTTTAATGGCTGGAAAGAACTATAGTACAGCTAAAGACTCTTGCCCAAAGTGATGCCCCTGAAAAAAAAAAAAAAAAAAAGAAAAAAACCTGAGCTTTAAAATTATTTTGTTCATGGAAGAGGAGAAGCTCTTATTGCACAATGCTGATCAGGCTTAGCACATGTAAGGACAAAGAACAATGCTACTGCTGCCAGAAAATCAATACTGTTACAGGTTAAGACAATTAGCTACAAACCAATTTAAACCCCATTTCCTTTTCACCCTCCTTGTCCTGTTGAAATATTTCCAACACTTCCATATGGAGCAAATATCACTATTATTTCTAAATCCTGAAGAAAGTCTGAAAGTCTAAATGCTGAAGAAACTGAAGAAAGTCTGACTACACAGGTAGTGTTGATCTATATCAACTTCTCATCTATCCCTAGTAGGTACATCCAAGGTTTCATTACCAAAAAAGAATACTGGACTAAAACATCACACTGAATTTTCCAGTGACAAGTGAATTTATAAAACTTGCGGAGGTGAATTTCATTTAAATGACAACCATGCACATGTACAAGGTAAAAGCAGAACTTGTCCCATAATGCTTAGAAACCCTATTCATACAATGTGTGGGGTGCAATGCAAATGTACACGTGTGCCCATCTAGTTTGTCATCTAAATGTCAGCAAGTATAAAATACACACAGAAACAGAATTATAGATAGTTGGAAACCATAAATAAAAACATTAATCAGAAGCCTTAGCAATCCTGAACTACACAGGAAAGCCCTGAAATCAAAGCAAATCCTGTTTCCACAGTTCATTCCTTTGCTTTTGTTTTATCTGTAAACTGATAACCTAATGTGATCTAAATTTGGTAACCTTCTTCAAGATTTACTATTAGTACAGCCATTTCAAAACTCTTCTACTTTTAATTTCTTCTTAACAACATAAGCCTTTGTTCCCCCAGATAGACTAGAGGCATCTGTTTATACCACTTTTCAACATGACTCAGGAAAAAACAAGAGGTCTAACACTATTACTGAAGGTGACACTGCAATAAAGAGTTTTCCTACTCTGATATAGGTCTCCGAGTTAAAAATTTTGAAGGAAAGTTGACTTATCTTGCACCTACATCTATAACTTATTTTTACAGCAAAACTTGTTGCTAACATAGTAAATAAACAATAGCACTCATCAAAAGCATAATCGAACCTTCCTTTAGGAGAATACTTTTCCAGTGCTGAGGAAAGACTGACATGCAGTTTCCACTTCAGAACTCATTAAATGGGCAATCCAAAGTGTCTCAGAGCAGGCTAGGAGTTAAAATTTCACTTGTGTAATTATTCTGAGGAAATATGTAAGTCTGCCATCTGGAAGTGTATTAGACATCACAAAGTCACTGTGTGCATGCCTCAGCAGATGCAGCTTTTGTTCAGAGTTTTGAGGGCTGTTAATTTAATTAGTCTTGTATTTTCATACACCCACCTTCCTGCAAAGGCAGCATCACTACAGCTTTAAAAGAATCCAAAGCTAAAAGCTAAATTCAGATTTTAAGGAAATAGAAACATATAAAGTTCATATGGACTTCAAACCGAGCTTGATCTGTTCATTAGCAGGACTAAACATTACTGCCAATGGCTTTTTAGACCAAAACAGAAAACTGTGCTCAATGCATCCTTCCTACGTTAGCTTTCTTAATTTAAGGAGCTTAGGAAAGGATTCTACCAATTGTTGTTTTTTGGTTTTCGTGGTTTTTTTTTTTAATTAAAACCACTCAACAACAATGATCTGGAGAATGTAAAAAGCTTCTCATTTTTTCCTAATGTCTTTTATGTAATGGGAGACCAGACAAATATTTAAGTTTGATTATTTCAGGGCTTTTTCTGTCAGAATATATCTCTGAGTAAAGAAACGTTTGTCTGTTCTAAAAACTAGGACCATTACTCGTCTAAAAATAAGGACTAGCTCTTTACAGCGCCTTCTAGCACTTTACATTTCTTATAATAGCTTGTAAACTAAATTATGTGACATTTCTACCAAATAATTCATAATATGCAGTATAAGAACTATCTATGATGAAGGTAGTTATATCTGTCCACGTACACATCTGTTTGTTTCTAACCCTTAATCCTGTAAGCTGCAACACATGAGCAGATCTCTGTCAGTGCAGGGTCCTAATAACTGCACAGATCTCCATGCAGTATTGCAGAACTATAGAACCAAGTTGTTTCTTAGATTGTAAACCTATGCCAAAGAATCTGAAATATCCTGATATATTTGACAAGGATCAGAATTTCTTTCAAGTGAAAATCCAGACAAGGCACACAAGCCAGCAATGATACCAAATCAGTGGTGTTTGCATAGCCCAAGAAGCTCAGGCCTTGGGGATCCAAGAACATTTGAGACACTATGAGGTACACACATACAGCTAACAGCAGAAAGACAGGAAGAGAGACAGTTTCTAGAAAACTATGCACTTTCACAAATAACAGCAAAACCTTCAAATATCAAACACTTTTTAATTAAACTGAATACAAAAATCAAACAAGGCTGACGTGGAGAAAAGCTTAGAGATTACTAAGAGTGATTTAAAAGCCTAAACGATTTGGAAAATGTGCATTAACACACCCATTAGTTAAGTGTATACATTGTAGTTTAACTAACTAGGATAATTACCATTGGAACAGCTAATGAGGTTACTACATAGATACCCAGCTGCCCTGCTGCATGGATACCTGAGCTTCCTAACAAACAGTTTCTGAAAACAGAGGAGTTTGCAGCACAGTATTGATTTCAGGTCACCTGAAAACATGACGATGTAAACTGCAGCTGTCCAGGAGCCACTTGCTAAGCAGCTCAACTATCTGTGCAGCAGGAACAGACAGTTATGGGCATCAGACATCCCAAAATAATCATCCCTGTTCACACAGAGAAGCTTTTCCTGTACATTAGTTTCCAGTTGTTATAATACTATCTAAGCCAATAAATACAAGAAAATAGGAATATTAGCTATAATAAGAAAGAGATTCTTATAATCAGTGCCAAAACCAGGAAACTATACTAAGACTATTGCTGAAATGGCATTGCTCCTCCCTGCAAATATTTGTCAGTCATACTGGATTTCATGATTTTAAGAAACTGAGGAACTTTGTGGCATTTCTGGTTTGGTTTGTGTTTTGTTGGGTATTGGGTGGGATACTTTTAATTACAAACAAATATCAATTTCCTATCTGAATTTTCCTGCTTAACAGGAAAAGGTGTTTTGACAACACTATGAAAAGATAACCAGTATCATTATAACCATAAAGGAAATAGTTTGCAGATGTAGTACTCTACTTTTAAAAATTCCTGAGTTTAGAGGATTATCTAACACAATCTGTAGGGAGACACTACAGACCTTCTAATCAGATGAGAGATCGAAGAGACAAAAGTCTAACAGGATTTTACAAATATCACAGTGAGACTAGGAATTCAAATACCTAGAGAGAAAATTATGATATCTAATGGCAGAAATAATTTATAATGAAAAAATATTTATTCTAAAATCAACTATTTCCTGAAAAATACAATGCACAAAATTTAAAATCCAGAGCCATGTTTTAATCCAAGCTTTATGTATTTATTTATATATCAAATAGATACACATGACAGGTTCCCCTATTTCTGTAGCAAAATAAAATCACCTTTAAAAGTCTCAGAAAGGATAGTGAAGAGCTGCTCTGTCCAGTGCTACTCTTGGAAAACAGAAGAAAAAGGAGGAAGTGGCAGAAGATGCAGCTGATGCTGGCTACTCAGGGAAGTTAAGGGGCTCCGCATGACTTGGGAGCTGATACTTGAGACGGACCAGACTCCATAAAAAAAGGTGAAAAAGTTGCATTGAAGACTTACCAAATCATCAGAAAGGAAAAAAGGATGACAGCAATAGGGTCTGAAAAGCAGATAGCTCATCACAAAGTAACTTTATCTACAGGAGCAAACTAGAAGCCAAATTTGTCTACTGAATAACACAAGAAACTCCAATTTATCTCTCACACAACTGTGATTTCAGCCTTAATGATTTATTGCATGTTCCAGATGCAGTAATGAACATGCTCTTACCGAACAGCTTTTGTCAGAATTCCTTTTCCATTGCTTCTTTACTTGCTTCTTGGCTGCAGTTGAATGAAGAGTTGCATGTGTCTGTTTTCGGGGATTTAAAGCCAGAATGTTCTGTAGAAAGAGAGTAGAAAACATTGAAATATAGATAAAATTTCCATAGAAGTTCAAAGCCTCCTAAATCACACCTTACACACTTATTTACAGTGCTATGCAAAACCAAAACACAATTATTTAACATTATAGCCCAACTCCATACTAATTAGTTTAGATTCGCATTGTCCACACAACTTAGATTATGAATATTTAAAGACATTTCTAGGATTACTAGAAAACAAAATTATATTTAATGGCCTTAATAATGGTTTCCATTCCCACAGATATTTTTTATGTACAGCATATAGAAACACATAATTCTGCTTCATTATATCACTCCAAGTAACACTTGTAAAGCAAGATAAGCAAAAACATTAAAAAGGATCTGTTTTATTTCTGAATGTTTCATCATTTCAATATAAACTCCAACTTCCCCCGCACAATAATTTGTTTCTACACCTAGTGAGCTGATGAGCTAACTCATTTATCATAAAATGCTTTTATTTGCAAGGATACAAACAAATCCAGGAAATATAGCCACACTTTTAAGTCATGGTGATGATCTGACAACAGGCAGAATGAAGTTTTTAGTGTCTTTCACTGTATTAGAGTAACTCAACAAATTAAATCCACTTTTTGGAACCCAAGCTCTTTTTCCAATCAGGCAAGTGACAGGTTTCCATAGCAAAACTGAGCTCATTTAATTCAAGGGATGAGTGTGAAAGACACGTAAGAGACAGATCCAGACTCAGGTCTGTGAGGGAGAACCAAATCAGGCATATTGTTGGTTGTAACTCCTGGAATTAATTTTGTAAGTTTTCCTTCAAAAAACATGGACTTCAGCACTATATGTCTCCACTGTGGTGAATCAGGTGTGGTTATTCTGCTACTATATGTCAAAGATGTGCAAGACTGACCTAGAGAAATGGAGACTGAACATGATGAGTACAATGGGGTTATGAACATTATATCAGGATAATGATGAAATAGTAATCTGTTGTATTAAGATTTTATTGTACTGACATTTATGGAGACTTTTTATTTTAAATGTGAAGGAGTCACTTTCTATCCAACTATTTAATGCTTTACTGATTGGTAATCCATTTTTCCCACAAACCAGAAATCTCACCTACTTGAAAATTCTACCTGCAAACAACACCACAGCCCAATGCACTAACTCCCAGCTTGCCTGAAGCACAAAGACAAAAGTGGGATACAACATTCAAAAAGGTACAGACTATTTAGCTGCCTACACGCTGTTGACTTTCAGAAAGAGTTAAAGGGTGTTATTGGATGTGCTTCTGCAATTCCAGCAGTAAAGACTCTGCTCCATTTCTAGGTGTTCCCCAGCTGAGTACCTCAGGCAAGATGTGGGCAACCAAATGCAGGCAGTAGTGGTTTATGCCAATTTATTTCACTCTTAATAAAAACAGAGCAGGGACATCCACATAAGGGATGTCATTTACAGCATCTCAGTTGATACTTTAATTTCTCAGGATAATCAAACTCAATTGTTGGAGCACATCTGACTGTTGAGTGGCCAAATTACAGAAACCGGGCAGTAGGTTCTGAATCACACACAAACTTCAGCAAAATTTTGTCTACTCTCTTTTGTAATTGCTTAATGCTTGGCCATGAATATTATAATTATTTTAGCAAACTGAAATGAATTGCAAATTTCTAGCAATAAACTGTAACAGATGTACTCCACTGGGTACAGCACCAGTTGGTTTAAAACATGGAACAAATGGCGGGGCAAGCCAAGGACGGAAGAATCCCCATATGTTTGCTCCTGTTGGAATTCTGCACCAGGAGCATGGCTCCAAGCGCAACAGTTGCAGAAATCCAAAAGGACTACGTAGCACAGCATGTCCCAGAATTAAATCTGAAATAAAACTGGCACAGAAAATACTAAATCACATATACAATGTAAAAATTGCTTATATTCCCACTACCTAAATAATATACTACCTGCCTAAATCTTGGATTGCTGACCAAAGTAGCTGCTCTAGCTAGAGATCTCTGGTGTTTAAGAACAACTCAGACGCTAACTGCCTGGATGGGAAAGTAATGTAAATGTTTCTGGGTCTGTTGAACTGTCAGAAATGAAAATCCATGAGGGTGTTTTCTTCCTATTCATTCCAGTTCCCTGGTTGGTTTTTCACAGCTTATGGCTAGTCAGACATTTAGTAAATTTAACAAATAAATGCAGATAAGTCAGCCACCAAGAAGAAAAATTACTGAGAAGAAAGTTCTACAGTCGGTACTGCAAATAACAATGTCTGCACAAAAATAAACCACTCTGGACATGCAGGAAAGGAATCCTGAGATCTCCAGTCTCTCTAACACGCTGGTCATCTGAGCAGGGTGAGAGCTGCTGGTGATAAGAATTATTTGGGGTTCTGCAATCTTGCTTGTCTGAATTCCATGCTTATTCTGCTACATAAATTCTCATTCTTGCCAGATGAGCTGTTGATCTCTCCAGATGTTGAAAGGGCAAGACTCAAGTTCCTCAACAGAGAATGCAAGTACATAATACATCCCTTTTCAAAGTACTCTGAACTTTGGATTTCACAGGAAGATGCTATTTGTATAGTAATGCAGAACCTGTGAATTATATCTTTACAGTTTTACATAAATGGTCACATTTATTTCATAAAAAATAAAGTTGGTATAAATCCATTATCATTAATGGCTGCAAATCAGAACATAATGCTTCTGTATTTGTGTAGAAATCTGTTTAGGTTGATGGAGAAAGAAATGGGGCTATGAGTAGGTACACAGATGCACATGTTGAGTTTGTGACTCGTGGCACAGCTGCACATGCACAGTAGAGCTAAACCTGCAGCTTTGCAGAGTGCAGATGAGTATGCACACCACCAAAGAATTATACTTTCTTTCATTATCTCCATAGATTATTTTGAAGATTTCACTTTGGGAAGAAAGTTGAGTGGCCTGTCTACAGAATGTAAACCAGTATATTTTGCAGATGAGTCCCTCAAATACAACTACCTTAAGGAATTCCTTTAATAACAACCCACAACAATGACTTCTTTAAGTCTTTTGAAATACAACAATTATAAGCTACAAAATATAGAAGAATGGTTTGATTTCTGAATACATTCTCTTTTGGAAGGGAACATATTATATTATTATGTGACTAATAGCTATTAAGGTTGCAAGTATCCTAAAATGCATTAAACTACTCATATGTAATGTACATAGAGAACAACTAGCATGTATAAGTCATAGCTACAGTTTTTAAATTTTGAGAATTTAGTGACAAATGGTTATGTTGATCTGTGCCAACAATAACACAGCTTCTGAGAATAAACTTACCATAAGCTATTCATTAGATGCTTATTGCTTAGCTTCTACTTTAAACTGTATGATTAACAAGTCTGCACAAAAAATACTAGCTCTAATTTTCACTATCATCTATTAATGAAAAGGCTGTAAAAGTTTTAAAACAACACATTATATCACAGTGAGTAATTTATAAAAAATTTGAATTAATATTACTCCACATAAGTGATTTCAAAGCAGTCACTCGGATAGAATACATCCTCCAGTTGGGAGTCCTGTTTCTGATGCAGCACTTTTGGTTAAATCAGGGCAGGTCTGGCACTTGCTCCCCAGTGATGCAGCAAATTTCTGGTGAAGACATTTCATTTCACTTTTAATTTCATTAGAAGTGTCACACAACGTTTTATTCCCATCTCATAAAGCCACCCTTTTCCTGAAATCAGAAGAAGCTATTGCAATTAAATCTGATTCTTAATTAAATGCATATTCAGCAAAATAAAATATAAAGTTATGGAAGCACTATGCTTATTGGGAATGCTCCAAAGCCAAGAGGGACAGGGGAGGCAGGCAGAGAGGGCACACTGTTAGGAAAAAGAGTACAACTGAAATCACAGGTGGGACTTCAGTAACTTCAAGGCAGTCCTCAAAAAGTCCTGCTAGTCTAGCATTGTCTTTGTAAAATATACAGCACTAAATCAGATTTTGAAAGCTTTTCTTTAAAGCACTGAGTTGTGAAATCTTTGGATTTTTTTTCTTTTTTTCTTTCTCTGCCCCAAAGTAACAATCTTATCCAGGTGTCCTGCTTACGTGGACATTGACCCTCACTCAAAACAGTAAGTTTGGAAAAAATTCAATAGTTTAGATTCCTCTGCTTCTGGAAAGCCTCCTACTGAAACCAATGAGTTGCACCAGGAGTATTTAGCCCCCAGTAATCCTCATCTTTGTTATTGGTAATTCAAAGTCAGAATAAGGATCAGAAAAATCTACCTGCAGGCTCTGTCACAGGTTGCGGCATTAGAACTGTGTAAGCTTCTTAACAAGATAAAGTAAAAATTTGCTGGTTTCATGGATTCTGCCCACTTCCCCTAGCTTGTTGGGGAAGTTTCTTATTAACAGCCCCAAAACATCTGCTGAAGTTCACCACAGATGACTACACATACAGTCACAATGGACCTGCTGAAAATGCAACTGTGTGCATGCAGACTATGATTGTGGGCATAAAATATGGTACCATGTGTTATTCTCTTTGTTTTAGCATATAGCACATTTACCTAGCCCAAACCCTGCAATACACAGGTTATATCCTGATTTACTACAGTTGCTTCATAGAGCCTCCTCAGCTAAGCTCTTTTATATACATCAATTAAAATTCAGGAGTAGCCTAGGCATGCTAGGGAATGCATGTGGTGAACAATTTAACCCACCCCATTCCATTAATCTACCCAATTTCCTTAAAAAGAGTTGTAATCTCCCTCACAGCAAGTAACATTAAATGTAGTGTAAGATACATATGTTCACCAAGTGAACATAATGAGAACATATTTATTTTTTCTAGGAGTAATGAGCACACTAAACAATTAATTTCAAAGCTATGCAAGTGTTAATTCACTGACAGAAACAAGTACCTGGGGCTTTTCTGATGATATTTTCTAGTATATCCAAACATGAAACTAATTTTATAACTGTTATTTAGTCAAAGGCCAAAGAACTCA